ATGTTTGCTTCAGACATTTAGAAAAGCGGTTTCTAGGAACTTCCCCTTCAATGTCACCTTGGAATTCCAGGTTCATGAAGAGAGTTTTCTTAGGAACACTTGTGAAATTTTTTGATGGAGGCTTCTCTTTCATGCTTTTGTCGATGAATCATGGTGGATACCCGTAATAAATTTAATTCTTTCTCTGTCGTGTCTTCCGAACAGATTTTTCTAATCATTGAACTTAAAGTACGTACTTGCTTTTGCTTTCGGATCAGTGGAACGAAGCTCTGGAAGTTGATAAACTGTCCCTTCCATGTTGGCTTGAGACATATTGATCTTTGGATCGTACAGTCTTGTCTTCTGGTAAGTAGTACATTGAGGAATGGAAATGCCAAGTTGGATTCACTTTCTAAAGTGAATTTTATTGATGGGTGTGCTGCGTTGAAGGTTTTGAGGAGATAATCTAAATCAACTTTTTCATCACAGATTATGAACATGTCATCTACGTGTCTTCCGTATAAGTGCATTTCACTTATATAAAAGGACCGAAGATGTTATTTCCTAGACTCGTCATGAAGCAGTCAACTAGAATTAGACCGAGAGTAGACCCCATAGCTACACCATCTTTCTGTACGTAGAATTGTTGATTCAATTTGAATTAGATATTAAACGTAAACCTCAGAAGTAGTTCCTTGAGGTAGTTGATGGGAAGAGGAACTTCCAGGTTGTTAGTTTCGATGTAGTCACAGATGAAGCGCATTGTTTCGGTCAGGGGGATGCTTGTGAACAGAGAGGTGCCATGCAGTGAAAGCATTTGCCTTTCAAATACGTTGATATCTTTCATTGAATCGATGAAGTCAAATGTATCGCTAAGAGTATATGTTGTCAAATGTCTTCTTACTGGTTCAAGGATATCAGGTAGCCACGTCACGATCTGATGATACGGTGAGTTGACGGTGTCTATGACAGGTCGAAGTATAACATTCTTCTTACACAATTTAGTAACCTTTTTACTACAATTTCGCTTCTTTTTTATTATGTAAGTTTACTATTATTATTGTTATTACTATTTTATTAATCATTATTATTCTCATCATCCATATTTTATTATCATTCTGTTACTGTCTATTAATAACATTGCATTTGCATACAGATTTTATGAAAACATCTTATAGTTCGTGTTAACTCACACTTATTACATCATGCAAACTTCTGATTCTTTTCTAACTTGCAGTTAGTCACCCCGTCTGGGTTACACCTCACATTACGTACTACGTTTTTCGAGAACAAATTCTACCAGTATCTGAATGGTTTTACGATTTCTTTGTTAAATATACTTACGATTGTATAGCTCATGAAAATGAATGGTGGGAAAGAAAATGTTTTCGCTGTTTACCTCTTTTTCATTGTCTTCAGTAAATCTGTTACGGTTTGCTTTGCCAGGATTATGTTTAACTGTTTCTCTTGAACAAAATGGATTAAACTGTCATATGAATAATAATTCGACTTCTTGGTAACACTGTCTACTGACCACTTTTATATGTTATACAGCTTTTGTAAACAGTAGCTTCACAAATTTCATCCCAACTCTTCAAGGACCTTAACACCAATCAAGTGATTAGTGTATTCATATGAATGAGTGTCAGTATGTAGTATGGGAATTGTGGAAAAGATCAAATACGAGCTTGCCTTGTTACTGGAAGGTCCTGGATTCGAACCCTGGCGGGTGCGTACTGACGAAGAGTCCCAAACTAGGATGAAACAGCTTTCCAGTACTCCCAGGTTTTTCAGTGGTTCTCTAACTGATGTTAGCTCATGATGAACTCCTCCATCCAATCAAACAAAATCCCTACAAAAACCAATACTTGAAAATCGATGTAATGCTCACTTGCGACTGGCCCCATTCAGGCTGTGACCTGAGGTTCTAGTGGGAAGCCGTGACCAGTAGAGTACAGCAGGTTGAAGATGAGGCAGTAACTCATCGAAGAAGATACTACGACATGGTCGTGCTATGTCATGAATTGGCAGAAGTTAGAATTCATGGGATATAGGATTGGGTGTCCCAGTGGCTCAATAAACTCGCCTTGTAACCCGATCGTCCTGTGTTCGAACCCCAGTGGGTGCGTACTGATGAAGAGTCCCAAACTAGGATGAAACAGCTTTCCAGTACCCCCAGGTTTCCCAGTGGTTCTCTAACTGATGTTAGCTCATGATGAACTCCATCTAATCAAATAAATATATATCAATAGTTTACACTCAATGATAAGATTTTGATTTCGATAAAAATTCGAGCAAAATTAATGCCTCTGATCACACCAACTATTGGAATTGTTTTGTTTTTAATTCACACATTTATGATTCATAGTCATAAATGTAGTTCATTTTTTTGTCCATTCATTTTTGAGTATTCAGAATTAAAAATTCCAGTTTGTTAACAGTTTTGCTGAGTCACCTTTGTTACATGTATCCGGTGTGACCTTAATGAATATAGATTCTGTTATAAGTATCTCTTTCCATTTGTTCATATTAAACTTCAGAATACAAACATTGTCCCAATCAATATTGTGATTTTTGTCCCATGCATGTGCAGCTATAGACGAATATTTTTCTAAATTATAATAAAGGTATTTTGTATTTCATTGGGCAATACAAAAAAACTTTATTATAATGAATATCATATACCCAATGCCCAAATTTTTTCAAACTGTTAAAAGTGATCTTGGTTTGGACATTTATAATTTTTCTAAATTGCTGTAAACTTGTGTTCCCGTGGGATGATGACCTTTAGTTAGGCAGGTGTTTGTGTTCACTGACTCTTATTTTGAATGATCTGGACGTCTGACCCACATATTTAGTCGGAAACTCGGCAGAAGATATTTTGTAAATTACATTTTTTTATCCACCATTTTTATTGGGTCTTTTAGTTGATTTATTTTTAATTAGATTCGTTGGTTTATATGTGTTGCAAATCCCAATATTTCTGAGGTTTCTTCAAATTGCCTCTGATGTACTATTTTTGTATGGTATTGTGATTGTATTTTGCTTCCCTCCTTCTTGTCATTCTCTGGTTTTACCCTCTTTTTTCTCTTTTTTATATTAGCTCTAATAAGTTGTTTTGGGTAATTATTATTATTGTTCCCTTGAGACGCTGGTCGTTTGGTGTTGTTGTAAGTCTACGTATTCTTTCTGCAAGACCCTGTATTGATCCTCCTTTTACCATGAGTGGATGGGCTCAGTGATAACCAAGGAATCTCCCAGAATGTGTAGTTTTTCTATATAGCATCGTTTTTATGATACCATCTGTTACTGTTTGTACTCTACAGTCGAACATAGACAGTTCCCCAATTTCATTCTCTATTTCCACAGTGAATTTTATTGAGCCGACATGACTGTTTATGTGTGTCTGAGAAGAATTTCTCGACATCGTTTTTTTCGTTGTTACTAACGTGACATATGCATATCTCCACCAATATTTTATTGATGACCGGAATGGTTTAAGTGCATTCTCCCCCCAAAAATCCATGAATATGTCAGCTATTATTGGTGAGATGGGCGATCCCATAGCCACTCCTCCTTCATTTTGTTGGTATATTTTCCCTTCAAATGTAAAATATGTTGTTGTCAGACAGAATTCCACCCCTTTTATTGTCTCTTCTACACATAACTGTGTTCTGCCTATTTGGGCCATTATTTTCTTTTAGTCTCGCTTTCAGTGCATTCTTGCCTATTTGAATGGATATTTTAGCATAGAGACTGTTTACATCAAAGCTGACTAGTATTTCCTCTTCCTTTATTTTAGTGGGTTTTTAGTCGTCTCAAGAATTCAAATGAATCTACTAATCTAGCTTTTGAGTGGTCTCTTGTTGGTCTTAGTATTGTTGAGAGAAATCTTGACAGCGCATACGTTGGTGTGTTTCTAAAGTTTACATTCGGTCTTATCGTATATCCTTCTTTATGCAGTTTTATCTTGGAATATATCCTAGGTATATTACATGATTTCGGCATAATTTCAAGCCATTTTGACTTACCAATTACTTCTTTCATCTGTCTAACCACCTTTGATGTTTCTGTCATTGTTTTGTTCGTTATTGTTTCTGATGATTTGGTCATTAGCGTTTAGTGTCCAGATTGTAAGTGTTTATTAGTCTTTTCCGTATATGTTGCTTTGTTAAGTATTACTGATGTGTTTCCTTTGTCTGCTTTTATGTCTTGAAGTACTTTTAGTTCCTCCTTCGTTACATTTACTTTTCTGATTTTTGTTATTTAAGGTCAATGCACATTGTGCTAAAATTTTCAAACTGAATCGGCAATACTTTGAATAATTTTGACTTTATACCATAAATGTGGATAAATTCCTCTGGTTAATTTAATTTCAATTTAATTTATATTCTGAGTAAATCAAATGCAATATTTTAACAAATGCTGAGAATTCCATTTTGTATTATAAGTACCCTTTTTGGAATAAAGTTGATTATTACTATTATTATTATTATTAATATTGTTTTATTGTAGAAGCAACCCTACTTCTAAGTCTGTATTAGTTAAACCAAATAGAGGAGGTAAGATTTCAGAAAGATTTTATATTCTTGCCTCGTTATTCAAGTGCAAAATAGGGCTTCACGCTTCACACTCAACCTTCATCCCATCTAAGATCATCACAGGCTAGTAAATTAGGGAAGAGTCAGGAGTGTGTCAGTGAGCCAGCGATATGCATATGACTGGCAAGCATTCTATCATTTAAACCCTGATTCTAGAAATGATAACTGAGACTAGTTGCAGCTATAAGACTAATACATTATTTAATAGGTTACTCAGTTTCTATTCAAATCATAAGTTTTTTCAGTGAGCCATTTATATTACTTACAAGTAGGCAAACACTACTAAGTAAATTTATGCCTTATTATTACTTACGATTGACTATCGTTTACTCCATTTAATTGGTTCTTTACAGTAACCAATTGAATTTTTTAACGTGACAGACAAGATAAAAATACCTTTGTCATGTATAAGTCTTGTTGGAAAATGATGCAAAAGACAGATGCGTGAAAAGTATGCTCATTCTCGAATTTGTTTAAAATCTTATAGTGATAGTTTGTTTTCCTCATTCCATGAATTCACACAGAATTAAACCTATCGATTGTATTAAATAATGGGAGCTTTCAGGAGTGTTTTAAGTGGATTACTTGAATATGAAACACAGAAAGTGGTTCAGATTCACTCCACAAAAATTGGACTCACATTTCGACTTATACAACTGGGAATCATTCTTTATGTTATCCTATGGGTTATGATTTACGAGAAAGGCTATCAATCATTCGATCAAGCAGTCAGTGGAGTAACTGCTAAGCTGAAAGGGATAGCATTCGCCAATGTGACAGATAATCCAAAACTTGGTGCAACTGTTTGGGATGCAGCTGATTACGTAATACCACCGCAACAGAATTCAGCATTTTTTGTAATGACTAATCTAGTTTATACACCGGGACAAACGTTGGGACGTTGTGAAGAAGCACATGATGTATTCGGAAACAGTTGTAAGAATGATTCACAATGTCATGCTGGACAATTAGTTCTACGTGGTAGTGGAATACAAACTGGACGGTGTGTAAATTCTACAAGACAAGCCAATTTGAGTGTGTGTGAAATTTATGGCTGGTGCCCTACAGAGCATGATATCGTTCCTAGACCACATTTACTAGCATCAGCAGAGAACTTCACCGTCATATTGAAGAATAGCATTGAATTCCCAAAATATCGAGTGAAGCGTAGAAATATATTAAGTTGGATGAGTCGCCTATTTCTGAAAACCTGTTTATATGACCCAAATGATGAGAAACTTAAATACTGTCCTATATTTCGACTTGGTGATATATTGAAGTATTCTGGTTCAACTGACAAGGATATCTGGGAGACTGGTGGAATGGTGTCTATTCACATTGAATGGAATTGTAATTTAGACTTCGACGAAGAAAAGTGTTTGCCAAAGTATGTGTTTCGCCGTCTTGATGATTTTCGAAGTCATTTAGCAAAGGGATGGAATTTTCGTTTCAGCCACCATTATATTGAAAATGGCGTGCGTAAGCGTAATCTAATCAAAGCATATGGAATTCAGTTTTTTATTACAGTCTATGGAACTGGTGGAAAATTTAATGTGCTTACTTTCTCAATGAATCTGGGTTCTGGTTTAGCCCTACTCGGTATAGCTACAGTATTGTGTGATATGATCATATTGAATACAACACGAAAGCGTAGTGTATATCGTAGGGCTAAAGTTGATCTAGTCGCTGCTAAACGCCGTAAAGAACAACAACAAAGTATGAAAGAGAATGAGAATAAAAATGTGAACAGTCATTTTGGGAAAAATAAAAATAAAAAGAGCAAGTTAAAGTTTGTATCTACAAGTGTTCATGCTGACGATGATGGTGGTGTTGAGAAAGATTTCACTGACACAAATAATCTTATGACACCTGGATATGTTTCACATCAAATGTGGTCAGATAAAAGATGTAAGCGAAAACCCTTCATGAATAGCAGATCAACAAAAAATTCACATTCCGGTCAGTTATGTTTAAGTCAACCGAGTTTTCTTGGCTTCCATGTTACTCCGTTATCTACTACATCACACTCTCCAGCTGATAATAGTGAAATAAAGGAGGAGAATGAATCAGAAACAATCTTAGATGCGATCACAATTAAACCGCCTTGTGTTACAGATCCAGTTGCAAGTGTGTCATCATTTGTTGGACCAGTAAAATCATCTGAAATGACAACTGTACCAGCTGGCGCTAATCCTGGTCCTATGAAGTCAACTGCAAAAAATGAGGTAAAATTTACTAACCCTGAATCAATATCAACAACAGCAACAACAACTTTAAAGCCGAAAATCAACAAGAATGATTCAGTGCCACTGAAAACTGTTTCTATATTACCACAATGTTGTGAAAATTTAACAAATCCCAATGACAATTCACAAGAGATAAAAAGCTCTGTATCTATTCAGGAAAAAAATAAATCTCAAAAACCTATAAGTTTGTTTGGTCCTCCGAAACTCAGAAAGCACTATTTACATCCACATTAGCACTGATGTCGCTTCTTATCTGGAATTACTTGTTCCCATCCAGTTTATCTTATTTTTTATGTGCTATCAAGATTGTGATTTTGTCAACTGACCGAGTCACATTGTCAAATAGAATTGTGCTCATTTTTTCTCTCTCAAAAATAAATCCTATGTGGGGACAGTTGTCTGCAAACCGCTGTCTCTATGAATATAATTTCCTCTTTGTTGTTTGTTGTTGTTGTTGAATCGGTGAATCGATCAAGGGAGAAAAGATACGATCGGAAGTTTCACAGTGTCGGATAATGTGAATACATCTGAAATAAAGTGAGATGAGAATTTGTCGTGTCTTTTATTATTATTTTTTCTGTTATTTTTTGTTTTGTTTTATTTAACACGAGTAATTTGCATTACATATATGCACACACAAGAGGGTTATACTGCATTCCATAACATCGATTTGTTGTAAAAAAAATTCCTACAAAAGAAAACCTTTCTGAATTCAATTTCTATTGTATATTACCTTCTGGTATCGCCTGATATAATAACTGGCAGAAATATATATATATATATATACGTAGTGAATATATCTATGTATAGTTCTAATGCAGACTGAGTTTTGTGTCAAAGCAAGCCTGATTCGAAATCCCCAGTTAGTTCACCAATGTGTTTTTTCTTCTTTGAATGCTTTTCATTTTATTTCTCTAAGTCTGTTCGACTTTTGTCGACTTTATTTCATCAGTGTTATCTCTCTTCTCAAAAAAACAAACAACAAAGTTATCTAGTAAATTACAAAATGAAATGTACGTGATATTATCTGTTATTATGATGTAATGATGAAAAGATGAAAACTTTTAAATATTGTCATCATTTTTCCCCGAGTGGATACAAGGTAGCTAACTGTGTTGATCGTTTAAGTTATCAGGGTATGTGATAACTTTGAAGTTATACCTGTAGATGAGGATCGGAACTGTTCCGCGTACTCCAAGGTTTAGTTAGCATTTGATAGTGAATGTTTTATGCCCAGAGACTTCATCCATTATCCAGGTTAGTGCTGAAGTAGTTATCAAAATGGTGGCAGTTATTATTATTAATACTTCCTTCGGTTCCCAGTGGAATATAGAACTTCGGCAACACATCTCTATTTCATTCTGTTCTCTCCTCCATCTCATCCTCGGAAATTCAAGTGTGGTGATGATGATATGGTTAAAAATATCCTTTAAAATTTTACTAACAGTTTCTTCCACGCTTGAATTTCTCACTCTTAACAATATTTAATTTAAGATACGATTTGAAAAGACTTAAGTGTGTTTTAAAACTTACTTCTGTAGACTGTAATGTACATAATCCTGCAGTCGATATCTCAAGATAAGTGAAGCTTGCCAAGCTACCACAGCTAAATTGAACCAATACCTCAAACTTCTGACATAACTGGTATGAATTCAAAACCTTCTTATCCAGGCGGAAAGTTGGCAAGATTAATATTAATCATTTGTAATTACTTACATATTTCAGCTGTAAATATCATGCATAGCCTGTGGTAATATATCTAACTGGTCTAATATTGTGAGTAAAGAAAAGATAAGCAGTTAACACACATCTTAATAATGCTATTTAAAGTAGTACATATCATTACTGGTGTTTTTATGGTTCTCTTTGTCACTGTTTATGCATCCTAATATTTCATTTGATGCACCTCAAAATGTCTGAGGTGAAAATTTCGAAGTTTGTGTAAACTCTTGAATAGTTACATTCGCATAAATGCGAATCAAATTTCTTATTTCATAAATTATTCTCTCTTTGTGTTCTAACTGGAATATGGGGCTTTAGTGGCACAGTTTTATTGAACCCTGTTCTCTGCTACCACTTGCGACCTGCCCCAAAATTGCCCACAAGCTTTTATTTTGTGTTCATCTAATCTTCTGTATGTCACCCACTGACTTCCAGCTCATCGCTTCCCATCTGGGTTTCACTCACGGAACTGGCGTATAGTGTCACTTGAAGATCTCCTCAGTGTATGTTCGATCCGACTTAAAATTGGCTTTGAAAATCGGAATCAGTTTGTTACTGAGTGCAACAGATTTCCAAACTGATTTCCGAGTGATGAGAGTTCAGTTTTTCTTTCCTATTTCGGTTTTAACATCATCATCCGTCTGTAGTTGAAACGATGATTCCTAGATAAGTGAAGGAAGTAACCTCTTTTAAGTCTCTCCCTTTGATGGTGATTGGTGCTGGCTGTTGTTGTTGCTACTGTTTGTTGGTTGGTTATCTTTATCACCTCCGTCTTCTCTATGTTCACGTGAAGTCCTGTCTTCTCTACTTGACTCCTCTGCCAGTTTGTAGCTTTTCTCCTATAAGTTTTCGAGCTTGTGTGACATTAGACATAAATCATTCGCCTCAAAATTCAGATCTTCCAGAGTCTTCTTATCGGTGGTCCAACGTATTCCTATCTTCTCGCTTCCATGCATAGTCCGACACATAATCCAATTTTGCAATTAGTAATGTTCTCTGAGCTGGTTGGTTTAGTTGCGGAGCTTTCGTCTTCCTTCTCGACAACATCCCCTTTCAGCGCAATATTTAGCACAAAGTGAAATGATTTAAATTTCTTCATGGGTGATGTAATTGCGTCTCCTGGTAACCACCTGTACATATGTATTGACCGTTTTCTATTGACTTGGATTTTAAACTTTTTGGTCACCTGATTTACTTTTTATTAGTTGGTATATTTCATCTATATTAACGTGTTTGTTAATCACATTTTCGCTTGAATACCAGGCTTCTGGGAATTCTTCGGCACTTTTCATGTTTCCTCTGTCTAAGATTTTGACATTGTCCCAATCAAATTGATGACCATAATTGTCTATATGCATTGATCCTAAAGAATATATATCGTGTCTTTTCACGGCTGATTTGTGTTCTTGAATTCTAATTCGAAGGCGACGCCCACTTTGGCCGATGTAATGCTTGTTACAGTTCATACAATTTATTTTGTAAATGGTATTAATTTTATCCCCTTGTTCTGTTGGATCTTTTGGTTTGCATAATATCGAATTAAGCGATTTTACTGGTTTGTGTGCTATATCTATATCTAACGGTTTCAGTATTCTAGCTGTTATTTCAGAGGTATTCCTCATGTATGGTAGAATGAATTTTCTTGTGGTCTTTGATGATGGTTTCTTCTTGATGTTTTGATTCGACTTTAAACACTTTTTGATGACATTTTGTGGATAACCATTCTTTTTGAAGATCGTTTGTAGGTACTTTTCTTCCATTCTTTTCAACTCTGGAGTGCTACAATGTGTTTGAACTCTTTTAAACAATGTCTGCACACAGTTTTGTTTGTGAGTAACTGGATTATTGCTAGTATAGTTGAGTTTTTCATCTGTGTGTGTTGATTTTCTATATACTTGTGTTTCTAAATCTCCTGTGTTGGTTCTCCTGATTAAGATATCTAAAAATGGGATTTTGTCATCTAATTCTTCTTCTCTTGTGAATTTGATGTCTTCAAATATGTTGTTTATTAATTTATGAGTATATTCTAAATCACTTCTCTCAATTATTACAAATGTATCATCAACGTAACGTATCCAGATTTTCGGTTTAATTATAGGTAGAGCTATTAATTCTAATCTTTGCATAACGGCTTCAGCTATTAATCCTGATATGGGCGATCCAGTTCACCATAATGAGGAATATCATCAGTGATAATAGGTAACAGCCTTGTCTTACTCCTGTCTTCACTTCGAATGCCCCTCTGAGTTTTCCGTTGTGGATCACTCGACACAATTTACGTTATAGAAAGCTACAAATAAAACGCAAACAGGAGTTGTACGAAAGTGGATTTAGGTTATTTTAGTTTTTTTTCTAAATCTCAGTATTATTCAGGTGAACAGAACAGCATAAGTTGCACAGCTATCCTTCAGTCAGCCATATATAGAGATGTTCATGAATAGCCTATTTAGAACGAAATAGTTCTCTTTCTTTCATATTACCTAATCTCTCCACCCACCTTCAGCAAACTTAGAAACCCAGAGTAATTCAACCTTAGAAAACGACTATTACGCCTAAATAGTATCCGGTTTTTACACAAAACCACGGTGAAACTTCGGGACTAATTGGAAAAGGTTTATCGGCATTTGGTTTATTTTTGGAACTACTTTAAAGAAAGATATTTTGACAAATGTTCCTGACTTTATTACTAAATGAGACAGGTCTAAAAATCGTATTATTTGTAGACAAAACTATCTTATGATGAAATCCTGTAACCATTCAATCAAATCCCTACAAACCAATACTTGAAAATCAATGAGATACACACTAGCGACTGGCCGTATTCAGGTAGGTAGTTACTTGGGGTTCTAGTGGAACATCGTGACCAGTAGGATACAGCAGATCGAGTGTAAGGATAAATACTCGCCGAAGACATTGGCTAGCGGTCGCGCTATATCGTAAATTGGCAGAAGTTAGAATTCATGGGACACTGCGTCGGGTCTTAGTGGCTTAATGGTTTATCTAATGGTCTGCTCGCCTCGTAACCAGAAGGTCCTGGGTTCGAACCCTGTCAGTGGGTGTGTACTGCCAAGAGTCCCAAACCAGGACGAAACATCTGTCCAGTAATCCCAGGTTTTCTTCCAATGGTTCTCTAACTGATATCAGCTCATGATGAAATCCTGTAACCAATTAATCAAATCCGTACAAACCAATACTTGAAAAACTGTCTCAGTTAGCCTAAATTTAGCACTATATGTTAACTGAATTTATGCATCTTATACGATCACCAAATGTATAGTGTGGTGACAAGTCCATATAGGATAACTTCTCCGTGTCAAAAAGCTCAGTACCCAGTCCGTTAACATCCTTTAGTTACACTAGCTTATGTAATTTTAAAAGCTAAGCCTCCTTATCATTTATGCGACTACAAAAGCCTACATTTTAGGCTTAAACTTATCTAAAATGATAGGGATTAGTGCAAGTATTATCCAAATCTGTAGCGCCCGAAATAAATCTAATTGTACATTAGAGTTTAGACTAAGAAATTTTTTTTTCTTCTGATTATAAATGATCACTATGACTGCATACTTCTTGAAAAATGTCACTGGACTTCGCCTAATGACTATACACTACACACAGAGAGAGGGAATTCACATGAAAGAAAAAAAATGAAGGCGAGTTGTGACGTGATCAAAAGTGAAAAATGCCAAAAATACGGAATTTAATGCTTCTCTCTTTATGTGTATGCTTTAATATTTCGTCTTGCACACGTCATATACCTTCTGCATTCACATCATATGATTACTACTGCCTGTACACACCATAATATGGTTTCTTTTTTCCCCTGAAATCCAGTGACATTTTTCAATAAGTATATGACTTCTGAAGTATAGAGCATTTAGTAAATTATTAAAAAAAAAAGAATCTTGGACTAATTGAGAGAAAGTGCATAACCTTTAATTTTAGATACTATCAAGACAGTAGGCATTACAGAAAGGGAGACAGATGTAAAGGACAGTCTCTCTCTCTCTTTTTCCCCTTTAATATGTATAAAGGCAGGAAAAAAATAGACATCAGTTATTAAATTAGTACAAATTTAGTTCCAAGGCATCTGAATGAACTTTTGTGTTATTTAATTTAACAAACATTTTCTGAACACAGAGATTAGGTTGAAAAATCATTATGGCAACTGACTCAGCTATGCTTAGCAACTGAAGACGTATTAACTTAGGGAGTTGAGGCAGCACACTGTATGGAATTGTAAAAGCTGAAATTTTGTCAATCTTGTCCTCTGTATCCATCAGGTGTGATGCTATGGC